CGAGCCCAGGGTCGGTGCGGGGCAAGCTCGGCCCTGCCCTCGGGGGGGCTCTGGCTGGCGCTTGCTTCCCGGGATAACGAGTTCTTCTTTCTTCCTGGGATAATGAGTTTTCCTTTCTCTCTGGAAGGAGGAGTTTTTTCTTTCTTCCTCGGATAACTTTTTTTTCCTCCCCTCTTCGGATCACTTTCCTCCCATCCTTCAGGATGCTTAATGTTGCAGATGTCAGGTTAGATCCCCTCAGTGATTCTGTATTGGTCTATCCCCGTTAAGGAAAACGAGGTGGGGGGGATTCCCCATTTTTTTTCAGTTAGATTTTTTGTGGAAGGAATTCTTACTTTTATGAGTTTATAGAAAAAGAAAGAAAATTGGTTCAGTGATAGAGGAGTGTCTCTGTGGAGAGGGCACCAGCTCACTCTTGATTGGAACACCCAGCAAGTCTTCAAAGTTTTCTTGACAAAAGTAATCGCTTATTTACTCGTAAACCTTCCATGATAAGGGATATCCAAAAAGTGCACGTAGATCTTGGTTCCTAGAGGGAAAATATGTTATAGGCAGAGTTGAGTCTTCATTGATAGGCAGAAAACGAACCCAGTGCTAATAGCTATTCCCACTGTTTTTAAAATTTATTGGGAATTAGGAAGGGTGAAAGGATGACAGAGCTTTCAGCTGGCTTCCATCTGTCAGGATGGTGACATTGATTGAACTGTAGCTTCCATTTAAATGGATTGCTGAAGGCAGGGTCATGAAATGCTCTTTAAAAAACCCCAAGACTTAAATACTGCAATTTGATACATTATCTGGCAGAGAGCCAGGTCAGTATTTATGAGAAGAGGTATGCTTTACCCCTTTATGGACATATATTTATATGCCTATATCAAACAAGACAAATTCTGTGCTGACGTTTAATTGTAAAGTCTCGATAATGAAAGAATGCCAGTGATTTACATACAAATACACTGAGCCTTGTTCTTCATCTGTGCAGGATCTGAAAGGAATATCCAGTCCTGCTGGTAGCCCCAAGGCAGGAGTTTGTTCAGACTCAGTAAGTTAATACAGTCCTGGTGTAAATCAGTGCACTCAACTCTTCAGAGAGAAGCCTGTTACTCCTGGTAAGATGCGATTGCATCTTTGGGAGATGCAAGGAATTAGTATGCCAGGGTTTCCAGATGAAAAGTTACGCTGAGATAAACCCAGTGTAGCCAACCGCAGCGCAACGGCTCACTGGTCCCTTTCTGATGGAGAGAGCAATTTATAATGAGCTACTTTTTAAACACCAACTGAATTCTGAACATTGATTAATGACGTGCCAAAGAGATACGGCCACACAAAACCAGCCAAAAAGCTCCTGGATGTGAGGCGTGTTGTTTTGCCTGCAGGAGGGAGCTCGGGAGGGATGTGCAACCAGGGCTGCCACCCTTTCTGCTGTGAGCATCCCCCCGCGCCATCAATGCTCCCATTGAGCTGAGAGTGAGTTGGGTGGCAGAGCTTGGCTCTGCAGCAAAACTTGTACATCTTAATTAACTTTTTCTTTAAAGTGAATTAGCTCAAGTCTGGGAGAGCAGCTGAGAAGCATATGGGGAGCATTTGAAGATGAAAATCTAGGAGCTCTTTCCCCAAACCTACAGGCTTTGTGGATACTACATGAAGCTTCGTCGGTGCAGTCACAGCAGGTCGCTGGGACCGTGTGGTAGGTCCTGCCCTTCTCTGCCCCTTCCCAAAGGGCAGCCCCTGCCCCAGCAGCTCCCAGCTGCTGCCTGCCAAGTGGAAGGATTCAGCTGAAGGGAAACAATAGGCAGTTTTATCCTCGAGTCAGCGCGACTGGCTGGGAACGGCATGGCAGAGGTGATGAACTCCAACGAGGAGAGGGGAGAGTGTTGACAAATTCATTTTAAGCCAGACTGGGCAGAGGACCAGAACACGCACCGCGGGGAGCTGCTACTACAGCCTGCCTGTGGGAATCACTGATAACACGGCCCTGGAGGGGGGAGCATTTTTCCACACTGAGGAAAAACTGGCGTGAAGTTTTCCCTCATAAGTCAGGAGCTGCAGCCCTGGGCAGGGAGGAGGGAGTAAGGCAGCGTTGGGTCTGATGCTGTCCTGAAGGCACCAGGGTTTTCTTGGCAGGCTGCTCCCAGGGATGGGGGGAAATGATCAAACAAGTCCTTCAGTAGCCAGGCTTGTCAAGACGAATATTAGAGGGATTGTCCACTGCCGTCAGCCAGACGCTGAAATTGAGGCAAGGTTTGGAATTTCGATGTAATTGGAACCATATTTCGTCGGGGCTGGGGATGCCGAGGTGGGCTGAGTCAGAGAGCACAGACATCTCTCTAAGCGACGATTTGGCGTGGAAATTACTGAGCCTGGGCCAGTTTGCACCAGCTGAAAGTTTGGCTTTTGGATTTCTAACTTTTTTTTTTTTTTGAGTAGATTCTTTCTCCGTATCCCTCACTTTATATGTAGAAATAAAATGTTTTTATGCAGAAACAAACTACCATTACTGGATACAGCAGTAAGGAGGGAAAGGGTGATCCCAATTTCCCCAGGTCCCACTGGCCCTCACTTGCCCCTTGGGGCAGGACGAAGGTGCCAGGGCCATGCAGGGTTGGGTCCTGCCTCCACAGGGCCCTGAAGCAGCCGCATCAACAAAGGCTCATTGAGGGCAATCCAGGCTCCCGCGGAGACTGGCGCTGGAGTTAGCCAACATATGGGAGACCCTCACGTTAATTCATGTTAATGATGGGCAGGCTGGCCCATTTTGGAGAGAGAGACGAATTTGGGACACCAGTGAAAGGCAAGCACGGCTGCAGGAAGATGTGGTGGTTGGGCTGCAACCTCTGCTTTTGTTAGTTTTGGTAGGCAAGCGGGCAGTGTCTCGGTCAAACCCAGCGTGAAGCAGGCTGCTGTCTGTTTTCCTAAACAGATCAACAAGACCTTTACAACAGCATCTCCAGGCCCCATATGGAGTTTCATTTGTGCAAATGAAGATTCTGCCTTGGACGGCACAGGATGGGCTGAAGCTATGATCTATGTATTTTGCTTAATTATTTGTTTTCCCTCCATCTGCCTGGCAGCCAACACTGCACGTACTTTTGGTGCTGTTGCCCCAGTTGGGGCATGGTGTTGGGAATCCAGTCTCAGTTGGGCTGAGCATCCTCAGCTTGGTTGAGCATTTGCTACATCTCTGACTCAAGCCCAGGGGCAGTCAGTCTCGCAACCCAGATCCATAAATCGTATCTCATGCACCAACCATGCATTGCCCACATCTGTGGCCAGGGCTGCTGGCCACAAACCCAAGAGATGGTGAGCCAAGCTGAGCGAGGAAAAGCTGCTCTGGCCAAACCAGCAGCAAGTAAACGCCCAACTCCTGTTTGGCCACATCTTCACTTGCAGTGACACCATTTCTTAGAAAGCTGAAAGGCTGCAGTCATCTCACGGTAGTTAGTCACACATGTAACAACAACCATCTGCTTTTCTGATTGAGAAGGGGCTCTTACGGGCTGACAGAGCCCATAGAGTTGGTCTGTGCTGGCATAGGTGGTGTGTTCAAACTGGAGCAGGCAGTGCCACTGCTCATCTTCCCCATCAGCAGCTCAGCGCACATGTCCAGAACAGGTTGAATCTGTCATACAGCAAAAGTACTTGTTCTGGTTTTGGTGCAAGTCAGTCCTCCATAGACTGATAAAGTTCTGTCCTTCCTGATGTCCTAAACAATAAAATAATGTGGGGTTTTTGGAGGGGTTTGAATTATTGCATAACTTTATCAGGTTTTAGCTGGGATCCCAAATTGCAAGTAGTGTTCACTGTGGAAATACTGACAAAAGTATTGTTTTTAACTTAATCTCTTTATATTGTGGTAAGAGGTGGAACATGGAAAAAAGTCAAAATTTTACCCTCAGTGAAGAAAACGATACCCTGGCAGAGTTGTCTCCCTCTCTTTCACAGCATCCTCCACCTCATGCTAGTTGTCATACGCTCAGATTGAGCAAGTTGACTTGCAGCTCTTGAAATCTCCTCCCTTGTGATCCCAGGGGGCTTTTCGGGTGCTGTCAGCTGAGCTCTGGCTCAGTGTTGGGGATCAGCACCAAAAAGAGGGAGGTTTATCAGACCCTCTTCTTTGTCATTACCTGTAGCCCCAACGTGTGCGCGGTGCAGAAGCTGATCGGCACAAACAGAAAATACTTCACCAACTGCAAGCAATGGTACCAGAGGAAGATCTGTGGGAAATCAACGTAAGTACCTGAGTACTGGCCAGGGCCCCCCCAAAGACCCTGTTGTGAAGGTGGGTGCTGGGTGGGAGAAGCAGACGATGAGAAGGACATGGGATGTCAAAGCCCATGGCGTGAGCTTAACACACACACGTGTTAAAAACTGTTTTAGCTTTTTACTCCCTAAGAAAAACTTGTGTTTTTCTCAAATGGCAAACATGATCCTAAAACACTTAGATGTTAAGAAAGTACCATGTAAATACAAACCCTGATGGTTTATTCTAATAGCAGTTCTATATATACTTACAGAGCTCTCGGTAGTGTAATGAAGTGTGTACCAGATGTTTTCTAGCACTTAGCTGTGAGGTTCAGTGCTGCCTAGCTAAAAAAAAAAAAAGAGAACTAAGAGAAATAAAAGGCAATCCAGAGGTGATGGATATTGGAGAGAATGTAAAATTCATCTACACATGTTTTCTTTGGAAGGGAAAACAGAAATAAGGGGAAAGAGGTATCAATTTTAGCCAACAGTCTCGGATGACTCCACCAGGAAAGTTCATTAGACTTGCAGGCCAATTCCACATTTAAAATTGCAAACAATAATATTCAAGTAGCTGTTGCATAAAGTATCTGTGTAAGCAGCCTCGGGACATTCCTTTGGAAGATGTAGTCAGCAGATAATTAAGGATATGCATGCTTGACTATCTGTCAGGCTGTAGATTGGGAGCAGGGAACCTTTCTCTTTGGTGTAGGCCCAGCTGGGCTTGCAGAAGTATTTGCTGGTCCCCACGTTAGCACACGCCACCACGTTACCCAGTACCAGTGCAAAGGCTGTGGGGAGCAGCGCTATGGGCTTGGTCCGGCCCTGGATCTGCAACGTTGAGAAGAACAAACGGCAGAAAAATCCTCTCGTGTTTCTGATACAGTCCAACACAGATTGTGATTAGACCTGTAGGAATGGCCTGTTCTTTACTGCAGAATAAATTTCTGCTTCTATAGTCAACAGCAGGCTTTGAGGTAAGCTGTGTTGCTTTTATTTTGGTTGCCTTCATTGGTTTGGCTGTGAGGACTGGCCATCAAGAATCATTTCATGTGTCTGGGGTTGGGATGGTGACGGGGGAGACAAAGCAGAAGTGATCCCTGGATATGGATTTTGGCCTTTCATCACGCTACCCCTGAATTTATCCAAAAGAGGAAAATTCTATAGTTTGGGAGGATTATTTTGCAAGATGTACCATATAGTGAGCATGTACAGTGGTTTTCCTTATGTTTCCCTTTTTTTTTTTTTTCTGCAGAATAAAAAAAAAGGATAGGCAATATTGTAAAAACAAACAATGGCCCCCGACCCCTTAATTCTAGAAAACCACCAAATCTGGGAAGTCCTATTTTGCAGGATTAGAGGTCAGGCTCTCATCTTGGCCCAGTAGTGGCTTTTATGATGTAAAGTGGACAAGATTATGGCATGGAAATATGGTATCATCATTGCTTCTTCTGATAACAGAGTAGCTTAGTAGGTCTCCAAAGAAAACATGACTCAGCTGTGGATGTGGGATAGCTTTGCCATTTTAGCCACTGAAAGGCACAGCGATCCAGCCATGGATTTCTTCAGCTCTAAAGCATATGAGAAACTAACCTCACGTAACCCAAGCGTGCAGCTGTATCTGGCAGAGACAAACTCACCCACTTATCTCCAGAAAGAGATGGAACACCTGGCGTCTGGCAGTATTTTCTGATTTCATTTGAGGAGATGGAGTGATTGCTTCTCACCATGTTTTCCCTGCTCTTACCCGAGTGTCATAGGCCAATGATGCATCGCTGAGAGAAAAGCACACAAAGCATTAACCTGCGTGTTAACCTATGAGATAATGTTCCCGTTGTACATGGAATTTGCTCACTATTCTTCACTTTGCATCATCTCCACAATGGGTATTATTGTCTTCTCTCTTCCTAGTAATTTTTTGAGCCTGGGCCCTACTTTGCCTTTTAGCAATGCTTGTGCAGAACAACAGACACGTGCCTTGACTCAGATTTTCCAGAGGACCCTGAGACGGCTCTGATTACAAAAATTTGCTGGTGATGGCTCCCACTGGATGCGGTGTTCCTGGCGTATGGAAGCAATCAGGAGTCATTCGGGCCATAAAGGACTAGATGTATTGTGCTGTGGCAGTCAGATTCTTAAACCACTGTCAGGGGCTGAGTGCTCAGAGCATCAACACCCAAAAGTAGGTGGGCACAGTTAGTGGTGCTCAGCATCAGCCCTTGAAACTGGCCCACTGCATGGGACTGAGCTGGTCCATGACAGATTTTGAGAATACCAGATGCCTTTAAATCCCAGAACGAGTCATGAGTTGGTATGTTTGTCAGTGTAACTGAGTGGATCCAGCCTTTGTTCAGGATCTGTAGTCAGGAGCCCCCTCCTGAAGCTGTTTGCTTGGTCTTCCCATTGGCAGGGTGACCCACTCCTTCAGCCCAGGGGCAATGGTGAAACTGGATAGGCATGGTCATTCCTCTGTTCCTCCTGAAAGGTTTTATCCACCTGTGAGAAGAGCAGTACGGTCATAGGAGATACTTGACCCATCTCACCTGCTTCACATCTGACCTGGCTGTTATCCTCCTTATTTGCTTAAAGGCTCACTGGTGCCACAAGTTAGATGTGTCTTGCAGGTGAAAATACCTGGCTTTAGGCAGATAGTTTTGACTGCTTTGATTTCTTTTCTTTCCCTGTGCTGAGCACTGTTTCGAACAGGTAGTAGGGAGTGAGGTCAGTGAGAGACCAGGTACTGCAGAGAAGTAAAGCTGAGCTCCTGCAGAGCTGGCTCACAGCACAGAAGTTCAAACCTGAGTGAAGAAGGCAGAAAAGCTGCTGGAAGCCTGTAGCAGTAAGTCATAACTTACTGGATGATCTTACTTCTTCTTGGATGATCACATCCTGCACTGGGACACGCAGAGCTCCTGGAGCAGCGAGGAAAGCCAGCTCAAAAGCTGCGCATGTGCCTGGTCTTCAGTCTTATCTCCAGGTGCATCACCAGGTCCAGGCCCACTGTTGTCCTGGGTTGCAGCAGGACCCATCCTGAGTTGCTCCATAGCTCTTACCAGAACTGAGAAGGTCCCGGCTGTAAGGCAGAGGCTGGATGCTGAGGCTCTGCTGGTTTGCTTCTCGAGCAGCATCTTCTGGTCCGTGGGAGTGGAGTGTTTTACCGGGGCTGGATGTGCACGATGGAAATTTCAACTCATGCATCAGAAGAGGGCTCTTACCTCTTTTTTTTTTTCTTTGTTTTTCTTCCCTTTGCTGAAGTATTGGCTCACATAGCTAGAGAGAAATTAGATAGAAGATTTATGGACATTTTTTTATCATCACTGATGAAGTGAGATAAGACAGCTGGCAAGAAGTCTGACACGGCTTTGATTTTAATGAACACTGAAACAAGATTGTTTTGGTAATTAGGTAATTTTCCACTGTTGGTTATTCCAAAGCCAAAGAAATAGTTTATTTAGAGTATATTCCCATCATTGTGCCTGTATTTTTTATATTTTTCTAGCACCCTTATGCACGGGACTCCTTCTTCCAGAATTGGAGTTGCAATTGAACATGTCCCCACACACTTTTTTGTCTTGAGATTGAAAAGACACTTACATAAATCTGGGGATTGAGTATATTTTGAGAAATAACTAGTGGCAGTAAGTTACCCCTTAATATGTTCCTTATTTTTCCTTTTAAATTAACTTTCCTTTTCTTGTCTGATGTACTTTCCTCAGTTCAAGAAAAAAGTGGCTCTCTGGCACTTATTTTACAACAACAAAACATATGGCTTTTATTACAGGAAATTATTACAAATAGATCTTTATTCACTCATATATGCCTAAGCTTATTTTTATTACCTTGAAAAATGCACTTAAAATTTAATTTCAGATCCTAAGAATGCAACAGCAGTGAAACAATCACTACTAAAAGCCAGGGAGCTTGCTTCTGCAGTCAGGCACGGATAGGTGTTTAGAAAATACTGTGTTTCAAAACCAGAGGGTGAAAAACTACAGACTGGGCTCAAAATTACTCAATGAGGAGGTCAGGAAATTGCGTTCAGAGGTGTTCAGATGACAAATGCTCTTTGTAGGAGGGCATTACTTATTTAACTCACACCGCTGGCCCCTGCCGTGTCCCGGGGCAGTGAGTGATCTGTAGCCTCTGAGCAGGCACCAGAACTACGGATGGACTTGGCAACTCCAGAGGATTTTTTGCAGGACCCACCACATTGTGCTGTGGCCCGGAGGTGTTCAGTGTTTTCTCCCATGCGCCGTTTTGCCCCTGGCTATGTAAGAGAAATACCCCTCTGGGCAGAAGACTGTCGCTCCAGCTGGAGGAGGAGATGTCAAACAGCAGCCTTCCTCCCATGTGGGTGTGTAGGGTCCCGTAGCATTGAGATGCAAAGTCCTGCAGCCCTCAGCCATGGCTGTGCTGCTTCTTCCCAAGGGCTGGAGGTGGCCGCAGGACCAGCCCCAAGCAACCCCTACAACAGTGCCCACGTTTCTTTGGGTGGGCTGGTGCTTCCACCAACTCTACCAGCCCTGGGAGGGCAAATGGCTGAAGCTGTTTTTTTACAGTCCTCGTCTCCGCGTGCAAACACTTGGCTCTGTGTTCACCTGGCCCTCTTCAGAAGTTTTTTTGGTGCTCCACCCAAAATACTGGCATGCAAAATGCATACCAGATGATGCTGCTAGGTCACCTTCAGCGGGTGAGTGAGACTGGAGCCTTGAAGGAGACCCTGCAAGGGTGTAGCTGGCCCAATTATCAGCCTCAGCACTTCTTGCCCTTAGCTTCTCTCATGAGGTGGTCCTGGAGATGCCCAGGAACCTGATGAAGAGCAGACAGCAAGGTCCTTCCATCACTTCCCGGCACCCAGCTGCTGGCCCTGCACTGCCGACTGTGTGCATCAGTGTCCTGCCCCTTCGTCACAGCTCGTTAATCTCTGATCGATCTATAAATAAGCCTTTTAAAGCCTACGTCAGCACTCAGGAATTATTTAGGCTGAACTTTGGAATGATTTCTCTTTAATCAGCTCTTCGTCTTTGATTACAGGTCTGAACCAAGGGAACTGTCTAGACTGGATTTAATTTCTAGGGTGAAAAAAAGAAAAATTGGAGGTAGGGGAGGGAAGTGGTGAGGGGAGAAAGTGTGTGTTTCTAATGAACATGAGACAGGGGGCCTGGGGAAAGCGGAGCAGTGGGGTGTTAAGATCTCCGGTAGCCAAAGGAAGAGATTGCTTTAGGCAAGCTCTTTCCCACGTGGAATATATAACGTCTAGACAATCAGTCTGGGTTTGCTTTGTAATTCTCTTAGGAAACCGTGACACAGAATTTATTTGCTTCTGTCACAGAAAGGCAGGTATTTGTTTCACTTACTGGCTCTTAATTACCCTGAAGAATTCCCTCTTAAACCTCAGGCATTTCCACTGTTTGTTAACAGTGTTAAAATGATGACAAACATCCTAAGCTTGAGGATTTTCCTCTCTCTTTGAGTGGGTGTGCTGAGGCCCAGCGATTCAGCATCCTACTTGTCTCGGTTCCAGCTGGGAGCACAGAGGAAATGCTTGTCCTTAGGAGGAACACGTATCCTCTCTCTGCCTTAGCCCATCCATCAGATATCTGTGCTTCTTTCACACTAAGCCTAGGAGCAATAGGTGAAAGAACCCGCTGTGAAAAATAAATAGGAAAATTCAGGATTGATTTTTTTTTTTTTTTGTTCCCCTTTCTCTTCTTTCCCTCTCTCCTGTTAATATCAAAATGTGTTCCCTCCAATGGCCAGCTTTGAGAATCAAATGTCTTATTTCCCTGAAGGAGATAAAAATGTAGTTTGTCTTTTGTTCAAGTCTATATTTCTGCTGAAGACTCTGCTTAGAAACATCACCAAATATGGATGGACACAGAACTAGAGCGAATAGAGAAAAAGCAGTGAGATGCCAACAGTTAATCTGCCGTATCCATCTCTTATTTCAGGGTAATCAGCTATGAGTGCTGTCCTGGATATGAAAAAGTTCCTGGAGAAAAAGGCTGCCCAGCTGGTAAAAATATATTTGACATTTTTTAGACTTCTTAAAATTATACAGCCGCCTAGTAAAGGGAAATGTTAGAAAATTACTCAAAGTGGATTTGATTTTTGCAGTTTCTGCACAATATTGCCATGAGCAAGTTGAAAATGGACTCAGCAGAGCACCAACGGAGTGCTAGATCAGCTCCAAAGCATGCAAAATCTTCCAGACAGCTTAAAACCTTGGATATAATTAAACTTAATCAAGCATGGGAGGGCCATAGGGAACTACTTATTCCAACAAGTAATATAGTTTTATTGGAAATGCAATATAAAGGAATGATAGAGTAGCAGGCAGCTCTGCCAGTCTCAGTCTTATTTTGGCAAGCATGAGGTTAGCAAAATTGCCTTTAGGAGGAAATGCAGTCCAGCCACTGGTGGGGTTGGGAGGGCATTAAGTGGATTTGTTGAAGAAAGACATGTTCTGCTTCTGCTTTCTGAATGCTTCCTTCCACAAAAGTTTGATGCCACCCAATTAACTACATGGGCTGGTGTGGATGGATCAGTGGAGACCGAGACCAGCGGTGAGCCACCAGCTCCCAACACCAAAAGCCCGAGTACAAACAAGGAGTGGGTGAAAGCAATGAGTATCTTTGCTTGCCTCAGTTCACATCCATAAAAATCCAGAGCAACTCCATTTAAACCTGCAGAGAAGCAGTAGGTCCTGCATTACGTTGCTCTAACTGAGGCTGAGCTGTCAGAGTAAGGTTATTTATTATCTAATTAATGAACAGATACGAGTTCCCCGATGTGCTTCGTTTCCCTAAACGTTCTCCCCAGCAGCTCTCCTTTAATTCAGCACTGTACAGGAAGGATGAATGATGTGTCAGGAACATAACCTTCTCTTCTTTCAGCGCTGCCGCTTTCAAATATCTACGAAACCCTGGGAGTTGTTGGGTCTGCCACCACGCAGCTCTACTCCGACCGGTCTAACCTAAGGCCAGAAATCGAAGGACCTGGAAGTTTTACAATTTTTGCCCCGAGTAATGAGGCCTGGGCATCCTTGTCTGCTGTAAGATATAATTCCTCTTCTTTCTCCTTGTCCTCTGGCTTTCCTCTAGTGGAGATCCAGCTCCACAGGGGTCTGAGTCCAGCCCTATCTAGCAGAACAGACACAGTCCTGATGTGGGAAGGACTTTGAATGTCTAAAATGGGAATCAGTGTACTGGTCCCTCAGCTCCAGAGCTTTGTTTCTGAGGGACCCAGCACTAGAGAGATGTGGATGCTCTCCAGCAGGAGATGTTAAAAACCACCTGATTCGGGGGTCTTGCTGTTAGAGATTAAAATAAGACCTGCATCAAGAGACTTCCCACCCATCTTGTTTTTTCTTGTTGACCCTTACTTTACCAGTCTGATTGTTTTAATAATTTGCACAAGGCCAGTCCCAAGTGGAGCCTCTGTAAACCTGCAGCCTTTCTGCATCAGTGTGTTCCTGTGCTCGATTACATACACGTTTCCTTTATTGGTTTTGATTTTTCTCACCCTGTGCCTTGTGAAATTTCCACTCCTGAAATTGTCACTGCTGTCTCCTGCTGGTGCATCCTGGTGCAGCATCTCTGTGAACAGGGGAGAGTCCTGATTGTACAACCCACAGCCAGTTACACCCCACATTTAAGTCACCTGTCCGTGAATATGTAAGAAGAACGACTGGGGCAGGGAGGGGACATCTTTTTGGCTAACCCTCCTACCAAGCCTTTACCCCAAAACTGCACCAGCAGAGTCCCTTGCCGGGATGATGCTCTGGGGGATTGCCTCCTAGTGTATTTGTCCTTGGCCCCGAGTGGTGCCTTTTTGTTGCCTTACTGCTTGTTTTGATGCACTGATCCCATGTTTGCTGGCAGCATCCCTTCATCTGCCAAGGACAGGGTTGCCAGACCTGCTGGCTGCTGTTGTGGGGTGAAAGATACGGATTTACAAAAGTTAGAACTCTAAATTTGCACAGATGGCTTAAGGCTGAATTCATCACTTAATACACATTCTCACACACACCCCTTGGAAGCAGCCTGGATGCAGCCAGACCTCCTGGCTCTCTCTGACAACTCGTTTAATTTCACTCAGCACTAAGAAATGAATTTTTCTGATTTTTCAGGAAACTCTGGATTCCTTAGTGAGTAACGTTAACATTGAGCTGCTCAATGCCCTTCGCTACCACATGGTGAACAAACGGGTCCTCACAGATGATCTCAAACATGGGACAACGCTTAACTCAATGTACCAGGACCTGCCTATCCAGATTCACCACTATCCCAATGGGGTAAGACATCTGTATTAAACCTACCCACGCCAGGCTTGCTTTTCTGCTGCCTTGCTCCTTCTACACTGTCCTCGGACGTCCAGGACTCTGTAATGCTTAGGCTGACAACTATTGATTTAGTATAGATATTCAGGAGCTTGAAAAGAGTATGTAGAAGCAGATAGTTTCATCAATGCTGTTGCACGGAGGCTGTCCACATTGCTGTATAACATTATGTTTGCGTTAAGTAATGGTTTTTGCATATTTTCTTAGTCTTGGTGATTCAGGCTAGACAAAAACACTGATTTTTTTTCAAATCTCTTTAAACATGAAATGTTTTAAAGAGTCTTGATAGAGCATTCTCATTCTTGGCACAGTTTTTTTTTTTTAGGAAATCACATTTCTGCTCCTGCAGATTCAATACTGTAGCGCTTGCTGTTTTTGAAATAGAAAACCAGCAGAAGCCGCTTCACATTCTTGTTTTAGTGAACATAACACACCGTGGCTCTTTACCTCTGCAGATTGTGACAGTGAACTGTGCCAGGCTGTTGAAAGCAGACCACCACGCCACCAACGGCGTCGTTCACGTCATCGACAAAGTCATTGCCACCACCACCAACAGCATTCAGCAAATCATAGAGACAGAGGACAGCCTGGAAACCCTTCGGGTGAGTCCACCCCATGTGAGCTCTGGGGCTCCTTAAAAATGTGCCATCATCACACTCGCAGTGATTTGTCACGAAGAGCTTGCCAGTGTCGTGGTCCTTGTGACTCTAAAGCTGTGGATGAAGTCCTTGTACCAAGATAGCTTATTTCATGTGGTGTTAGCACAAGTAGTGTTTCGTGAGAATAATTGTCCCCCTGCCATTGCTGTCAGTAAAGAGCTGTAGCATGAGTGTGTCTCCTCACTCTTCTATGGGAGTCCTAGCCTTAGGAGATACAAACTGTTCAGATTTGATGAGTGCCAATTTATTTGCCTTGGTATTTGCCAAGTTAAGGAATAACTTAAAAATCTCAGGGGTCTTGCATTTAGCCAGCTATGGGTTCTGATCTGAATTATTCCCTGGAAATACTGTGGCCCTTTCTAGGCATATCAGGATGTTTGAACTAGCTCTCAGTCTTGCAAAAAAAAAAAAGGGCTCTTGTACTCAAATTTCTGGAACACAAGAGAACCATGGGGCCGGGTCAAATTTATGAAGGGACCAAAGTGCTGAAAGAAGCCATTCAGGACTTCTTGTAAGTCCTCCGAAATTATAAAAACCTCAATAAATCTGGCCCTTAGTATGCCCCTGGATAAAGTTGCTAACTGATAAATGACTGAGCGTATTTTGCCCTCTCTCCTCATTTCTCTGAAGGCTGCTGTGGCTGCTTCTGACCTCAACAGCTTGCTTGAAAGTGAAGGCCAGTACACGCTCTTGGCTCCAACCAACGAAGCCTTTGAGAAGATCCCACGAGAAACATTGAACAGGATCCTAGGGGACCCAGAAGCCCTGAGGGGTAAGGGCTTGTTTACTGAGCCCATTAAGAGATGGAAGAGTATTTTTCAGTTCTTCTAAATTCCTTCTCAAGGACATCTGAACAAGTCCTTGATACACAGCTGCAGTAAACAGATGTGACAGACTCTAGCTTTTTTAACTAGACAGCCCAGACTTCTTCGGATGTAGATACGGGCAATGTGGAGACATGGAAGAGAGAGTGGTATCCAGATGTGGAGGAGGGAGCTGAAGCAGTCCCTTTCCTGAGTTTTCTTTTAGCACTTTTGTATGTGATGGTGATTTTTATCGGTCTAGCAAGATGCAAGAAAACTAGTGTCTAGTCAATGTACCTTCCCTCGACAAACAAATCAAATAACCACATGAAACCTTTTGAAGTTGACAAAGGTGTATGAAAATTACTCTTTTTAGGCACTTCATTTCACAGGCTACTGAATTAAAATAAACACAATTCAAAGTGGCTGCGCATCTTTTGGAGCAGAGCCCCATACAATACAGTACAGGGGGCTCTTGCCATTGAACAGGAACCCTAAAAAGCTGCCATAATTTCAGAGCTGATTTTTGCAGCTCACTAAGACACTTGCCTCTTTTGCAGACCTGC